CTAAAAGAGCTCCTTCTAAATGTGTCCTTTGTGTTAGTCTCATTCATGTGATTTCGGAACCGTCCCTAGACTAAAATGATAGGTGCACTGGGGACCAGACCATGTATCGTCCGTGATGACTGACTATTTAGTTGTGTCAGTCATTGCACTCGTGCCCACTCCCGGTCACCCTGACTTCATCTTGCCAACGGAATCAGGTGAGTAAATGAAGACAGAGTGTAGTAAATGCTACGCAAGCCTATCTCGCTATCGACTTACTCACACGCAAACCACCGATGCTGCACCCACGCAATGGCGACTGTGGAAGACGGTTTGGCTCGCGATGGTCGACCAACTGTCTTATTGGGCTATACTTAGCTATATTTTGCATAAAGGAGCAATTCAGTTTCATGCACGATGTAAATTGAAATGATTGTTTAAGAAGTGTAATGCGAAGCAACTTGCCCACGCCGTCGTCAACTGGGGACGTCAAAAGATAAAAGGACTGAATAAGAAACTGTGGAATCGACTCCAGGAAACACTTTGTAAAGAACAACAGGGAGGGAACTATTCGAAGCTTCCAGTCGAGTGGACGACGTTGTATTCTTTTTAATCCAATTATGTTGGCTACATCGTGACTGGAATTCAGATGCCATTGCGTGGTGTACCTAAAATAAATCCAGTAACAGGGGGGCAAAACTGTAGGATAAAAGTGCATTTAATATGTGCATATAAAACTGGTTTCTTTGTAACTGCCGGTGAGGTTTTGGAATTGAACCCAAAGCCATCGCATAACAAGCATGTCCCCTAACCCGATCAGTAAAAGCAATTGTAACAATGTCCATAGAATCGAACGGGCGCCTTCCAAGAAGTAGTTCAGAAGGAGAGGATGCAATCACTGGAACATGATGTTTGTTGGCCTGATGGATATTGAGTGCGAATGGCTACCCACGCGGCTTTTTAATCACTGCATATATAAACGACATGAGAGATCTTATCTCACCATCTCCTTTTTAGCGAGTTTGTAGTACTCTGAGTACACCCGCAACTTAGACCCCTACAAATTGATGAATCCGACGTGATCAAATCGCAACCTCCTGACGCGCTTGTGTAAAAATCTAAAAACAATTCCCACTCTTCTTCATTTGCCTGTTTTCCTGTGTCACGCCTCGTTTTCACCGATAGGAAACGCAATTTTCCATATTTTGCGACGAATAAAGCCGATGTCATCAACCAGACCCATTTACGAAATTCCAACCCGATTGTGAGAGTAGTCTCTTAACTACACAAACACCGGATATTTCCCCCCTCTCCGACGCTTGTTTTCAACAACGCCGGCATCCTCACTAGTGATTGCTTCCCAGATGTGCAAATCTCTTCTGTGCCTAGCTCGATGAAACTACGGCGTTTGGCATACTCTGCGATCTTTCCCATCTTCGAACTCAGACGACAATAAAATTGTTCATTGACGGATTCGTCTGGCTCAGCGTTTACTGAAATACACTGTGTCACACACGCCTTCTCCTTTCATACCAACGTGCCAACTCACCTGCACACGTTGACGAGATCACTTCAGCACATCCCCTAGCTGGCACCGCAAACTACACCTTCGCACAGG